TGGTACTAATCTTCTACATTTCCACTTACAGTATGCAATCATCTTTTTGTTTCGTAGAATTGTGTTAAATTGCCTTTTCAAATCTGAACGGTCAAAAATCTATCTTTTTATAAGTGAAACTTATGTTTGACAGATTCAAATTCTAAACCCACCTGTCCTGAGTGTTTCTTTTGCCTTTTCTAAAACACCACTAACTTTCATCAGGTTAGGTATGTATTAGCATCCAATGAGCAGCTCAATATAGATCGGAGTTATACCGGACACAGATAAATGCCCAGGCAATGACTATGCGCTCCAATCTTACCGAAGACTTTGTCCTACCCTGTGACAGTGCCTGGGTGTGGCAAATGAAAAAGATTAAAAAATGCTCTGTAGACTACTAATATAAATCCTCCTCTACCAGATATATGAAAAAGAACAATATGCCAACAGAATTAAAGCTTCACGAAGGGAGGAAAAAACTGCTCTATCTTATTCATTGATATATGCCTAGCACCTAGTATAGAGCCAGGCACATAGTAGATGCTCATTAAATGTTTGTTGAATGAATGAATGAGAGAGCAATCTCTACTACTGGTTATTCCATACTCCTTATATTCATATATTCATCAGGACAGTGTAAGACTAAAGGGAAATGGCCAAAAACTAATTCTTCACAATACTAGGATTCAGTTAAATTTAATTCATCTTATAGGTGGGTAATGAATGATTCATAGACCTTGAAGTTTTCAAAATACAGAAAGTTAAAAAAAAAAAAGAAAGAAAGAAAGAAAGATTCCTGGAATAAATAATATTCTAGTTATTGCTTAGTTGACTCATTGTGACATGCTTCCAACCTGGGCATCAAACAAGACACTTTAGAATACACATCAAATCTTGATCCTCATGGCCTTAGATTTTTATTTAAAAGGGTAGTTAGGCTGAAGTAATTCTACAAAGCCAGTTTCAGTTTGTGGTAGAATTTCTTAGGAAATGTTTTCAAGATAGTTTTTCCTTTAGAGGAATAAAAAATGTATTAGTTCGTGAAGCACACAGAACATAGAAAATGCATAGAAAGAACATTCTTCATTCTCTTGCTAAATGAAGCCAAGTCCAAAGCAATGCAATCTATTTGATGTGTTAGTAATTTATTTTGAGATCCTAGAATCAATGTTGGCCCTGCTGCCTTTACAACCAATGAGTCCTTATGAAAAAGAAACAGTACTTTGGCTATAGTGTTGAAATTAGCTTTTTGTTCAAATGTACACAATATAGTAGGGTTTAGACTGTGGGTCTGGAGATAGACCTAGATTCAAATCCAAGCTCAGATTTTATTGTTTTTATTAGCTGACAAATATCCTACTCACTTCTAATCTTTGAAAAATTATGTAAAATAAGTGTGGATTAACAACAACTCTGCTACCAGCAATTTCACCACTAGGTATATAGAAACATTCTGTGTAAAAATGTTCCCAGCAGTATTTATAGAAAGTGCTTACCTAACATATAATGAACACTCTATGTCAGCTATCAAAATTGTTATTATTAATTAGCAAAAATTAGAAACAATGGCCATCATCAAATGGTTAAACTGTGATACAGTCATAAAATACTACATATAAATTACAAATGAATATACCAGAGTTAAATGAATCCATTGCTGAATCTCAAAAATGTTAAAGAAAAAAAAAGTTGTAAAATAACTATACTATATATATATACCATATAACATAATAGAAAACGATGAATTGCTCAGGAATACAAACATGCAGTAAGAATATATGTTGATTAAGGGGTGGGAGAAAGTGGGGGGCCATAAGGGGCTTCAATGGAATGAGTAATTATCATTTTTTTAAAATGGGAGAAAGGCACTTGGGGGTCCATGATATTACTCATTGTAACTGTCTTAAATATTGCCTAATTTAAAACAATTTTTTTTTATTTCTATTTTTTTTTTAGAGACAGGGTTTCACCATGTTGCCCAGGCTAGTCTTGAACTCCTGGGCTCAAGTGATCCATCCACCTCAGCCTCCTAAAGTCCTGGGATTACAGGTGTGATCCACTGTACCTGTCTACTCCTAATATTTTCTTGAAACAAGTGGATGACTTAAAGTGAGCATAAGCTTCAAAGATAAGAACATATTTTCCATACATTTAATATGGTAATATACTAGTTTCTCCAAAAAGTACCAAAATTAAAGACAGCTTTGATAATGAATAATAAGGATACACAGTGCATTAGATACCCTCTAATAGAATAAACACCAGAAAAGCAGTATGTATACTTGGTACTTGGGTAGATCCACAGGTCCATTTAGCAATTGGAAAACACAAGAAATACATACCACATGGGCAAATCAGCCACCTTTTCCCTACACTGGCTGAATTAGACACTCATATTTTTAATACAAACTTATTCTGAGGTTCTAGCAGGCTTCTCCTGACACTGTAACAATCTTTGTCTAAAGATTCCAAATAAATGCTAGTCTCAAGAATTTGGAAGAATTTTAGTAAGTCACTAAAAAATAAAACAGTCAATGACAAAACACCAAAACTTCACCAACAGACCAACTTACAGAAGTTATATATTTTAGTTTGTTTTTTAACACTTTAAAAGCATAGTTAAAGCATAAGAGACAGAATCTGGTAGTACCTATACCTGTCGCGTCTTCCATCTCGGGTACTGCTATGACTGTAACTTGTACATAGTTTGCTGAAGGAAACTAGTTTCAGGTCAAGTTCATTTTCCAGCTGTCGAGCCTGTTTCCTGAGATCTTTAACAAAATTACAACAACAAATAATTAGACATAAAAAGTAGACACAAAAATCACAAGACTATTCTGAAGAAAACAAACTATGAAAATGATCATATACTGATCTAGCTACACCCATAAAGAAAAGTGTTGGCTGGACACAATGCTCACGCCTGTAATCCCAGCACTTTGGGAGGCCAAGGCGGGCAGATCATCTGAGGTCGGGAGTTCGAGACCAGCCTGACCAACATGGAGAAACCCCATTTCTACTAAAAATACAAAATTAGCCAGGCGTGGTGGCACAGGCCTGTAATCCCAGCTACTCAGGAGGCTGGGGCAGGAGAATCACTGAACGCGGGAGGTGGAGGTTGCAGTGAGCTGAGATTGTGCCATTGCACTCCAGCCTGGGTGACAAGAACAAAACTATGCCTCAAAAGAAAAAAAAAGAAAAAGAAAAAGAAAAGTCTTAAAAGAAGGAAACCAGGGACTTGCCCAGCAAAGCAGATTAGTCACTTATAAACTTCAGAGGGGACAGGAAGGGAAGTAGTAATGGGAGATGCAACTTTGCAGCTTTACTCCAAAGATGGCTAGAAAACAAAAGTTCTACCATTCCTGAAACTATTTATATAGCGATAACTAAAATTCTGTAATTCAGAGAAAAACAAGAAAAGAATACAAATCACAAATGAACTAAAACTATGGTTTATGACCAGCATTATCAACTTCCCAGTTAATGTTATAAGAAAGAAGCCATTATTCTTTTGAAAGGGATTTTGCTTTTTATGTTCCAAAGCTTTATTAGGCTCATGAACGTCTTTGCATAATAGTAAAAAGACTTTTTTTTTTTTTTTTTTTTGAGATGGAGTCTTGTTCTGTCACCCAGGCTGGAGTGCAGTGGCATGACCTTGGCTCACTGCAGACTCCACCTCCTAGGTTCAGGCAACTCTCATGCCTCAACTACCTCCCAAGTAGCTGGGACTACAGGCACATACTACCACACCTGGCTAATTTTTGTATTTTTAGTAAAGACAGGGTTTCACCATGTTGGCCAGGGTGGTCTTTAACTCCTGACCTCAAGTGATCCACTGACCTTGGCTTCCCAAAGTGCTGGGATTACAGGTGTGAGCCACTATGCCCAGACCAAAATGACTTCTCAATTGAACATAAAGAAAAAAAGTTACCATGAAAATTGCCTTTTTCTTTCTTTTTTTCTTTTTCTTTTTTTTCTGTTATTAGAGATGAGGTCTCACAATGTTGCCCAGGCTGGTCTCGAACTCCTAAGCTCCAGTGACCCTCCCGCCTGGGCCTCCCAAAGTGCTAGAATTACAGGCATGAGACACCGCGCCTGGCCAAAAATTGCCTTTAAAAAACTTACTGAGGCCAGGCACAGTGGCTCACGTCTGTAATTCCAGCACTTTGGGAGACCAAGACGGGTGGATCATGAGGTCAGGAGATCCAGACCATCCTGACTAACACAGTGAAACCCTGTCTCTACTAAAAATACAAAAAATTAGCCGGGCGTGGTGACGGGTGCCTGTAGTCCCGCTACTTGGGAGGTTGAGGCAGGAGAATGGCATGAACCTGGAAGGCAGAGCTTGCAGTGAGTGGAGATTGAGCCACTGCACTCCAGCCTGGGCGACAGTGCGAGACTCCGTCTTTAAAAGAAAAAAAAAAAAACTTACTGAAAGTAATTTGGAGGGTTAAAACTAACAATAAACTATGAGCTACTAACAAGGTCGAATATGAGTATGACAGAAATAAGTACGTAAGTTTTAACAGCAGAAGCAAACAAGCAAGTAGAGAAATTGGTTTAGCAGTCTGGCATCTAAGGGGTTGTGTGACAGAAGCCACAGTCTGGACAACCACACACAGACACGAGTATTCTCATTCAAGGTAAGTAAAGGTTAAAATACAAGGGCAGAAGTACCAGAGGTAATGGTATAAGAATCTCTCTTTCAGTGATAAAGAATACAAAACATTATTTCAATATGCTTTTCAACCAGAAATAGAAAGCGTAGTTAACATAGTGGAGCATATTTACTCAGAGACCAAAGGCCAGTTCGAATCTCGGCACGGCCACTTACTGACTCTAAGATGTATCAACAATCTACTTAACCTATGACCTTCAGCTTCTGGTTTTTTAAACCCCTACCTTCAGTGTTTGCCTATGTATTGGTAATCATATGCTTAAAGCAGCTGGCACAGAGTAGGTTGTCAGTAATGAGCTGCTGTAATATCATAGCATGCTGCTTCAAAAAACCACAGCCTAACGACTAGTAATAAAGATATCAGTAGCCTCTTCTACATAATTTTAAAAAGTTTTCTAGCAGCCAGGAGCGGTGGGTCATACCTGTAATCCCAGCACTTTGGGAGGCAGAGGCGGGCGGATCACGAGGTCAGAAGATCAAGACCATCCTGGCCAACATGGTGAAACCCCATCTCTACTAAAAATACAAAAATTAGCCGGGTGTGGTGGTGCGCACCTGTAGTCCCAGCTACTCAGGAGGCTGAGACAGGAGAATCTCTTGAACGCAGGAGGCGGAGGCTGCAGTGAGCCAAGATCGATCGCGCCACTGCACTCCAGCCTAGGCAACAGAGCGAGACTCTAGATTCTGTCTCCAAAAAATAAAATAAAATAAAATAAAAAGTTTTCTATCTAGTACACACATTTCAAATGGGCATGGTGATACACGTTTTAAACTATAAGCACGCTTTTCTGTGATTGGAATAATTGTCTTCTCCAGTAGGAAACACAAGTAAAAGCATTTAGAAAGTATGATAGGCAAATCTGGATAAATTTAGAATGAAGTTTCTTAGACCAAGGGGCTGATAGTGACAATATTGTGGTTTCTAGAGGCTTCAGTGGATAGCAATAGAAACAAGTCAAAGGAATTTGGAAAGTAGTTTCTATGCTGCAGTAAAGCAAAGAGAGAGTTGGGAGAAAAAGGTGAGCTTTCTCTGCTCTTGTTGATCACCACGGTCCAGGAATGAGTTTTACGTAAGCTCACTTTATCGGACTGTATTTTCAGGAATTAAATAAATGCATTTGTCAAATCACAAGAAGGTTTTTTGGTGGGAGAAGTATAGCAAATGTAACTGCAATTCACACAGGTTCTCTCAACTTTTTCATTAAAACCGATTCTAAGACTCCAGAGCAGTATGGTAAGTTATTTTCTCTTCCTTAAAACACCCAATCCTGAAGTTCCCAGCCTGTAGTTGTCATGCGGACCCAACAGGAGACATTCTGTCTCCCATTCTCTTCATACTTCCTCCGGCGGACCGGAATGCACGTTCCTCCTTTCTTTTCCCACTCAGATTTCCAATAGTGACCTCAACTCCACTGCGCCGACTCCTCCAGTCTCCTGGGCTCTGGATCTTCTCCCTCAACATTCGTTTCCTCTCAGAGTTCGTACCCCAAGCCCCTTCGTCCGAGTTCCATTACTCCCTCAACATAATTCTACCCAGGCGATTCAGATCCCTCTTCCTCCACATCCCCGCTCTGTCCACTCTGTCCAACCCCTGCCCCACGTCCCGCTCACAGGGGCCGG